TGGAACGTTGAAGCCATGGATACCTAATCTGTGGATATGGAGAACCAACTGTATTAGAATCTGTTTGTTAAATGCAGCTAATCTTGGAAGCATGACCTTGCTACTTGTGTTCACAAATGGTTATTTATGTCTGAAAGTGATATTGAACACAAATGCTTCTGATCTGTTTCTAGGAAGAGATAATATGAAACATTCCATGGATAGCTGGGTAATTTTATCACCTGCTTCTCAACATTGCCTGCAATGGAAGGGAGATATAGATGATCACAAGGAACAACTTTGTTTCAGATTCCCGTTAAAATTACTAGTTGGATACAGTGGAAGTTGTGTCCTGAGATTTCATGCTATTTATTTACAAAAAGCAAAAATTTCAGAAGAAAGAAACAGACTGAAATGTTTCATAATCAGTTGACAGCATGCATAATAAACACTGTATATTTCACTGGAACTCAAGAACACCTCTGATTGTGAATAGTGTTTGTTGTGGCTATTTCCCTCTTGGCATGATTATAATATTTGGATTAATTTGTATCATGAAGCCTTTTAAAAATGTGCTATTAAAATATTATTTCAAATTTGTGTTGACTACAACTTATTTATTTCAACTCCTCTATCCATATTTCAACTGAACATTCCTCCAGGTCAGCAACCTTAACCTGGATTATCCATGACTGTTGTTTGACAAGCAAGCTGACTTCACTGTAATTCTGGTCTAACTGCAGTTTTAAATGTGCATATATTTAAATTCAGGGTAATGTAAATACCATTCCTATGTCATTTACATAGTCCTTGTATTTTTAAAATTGCAACTTATGTTTAATCTTTGTTTTGTGTATTTTAATAAGGATTTTATGGAAATATGTTTTAATATTTTTATTTTAAAGAATGTTTTAGATTAATGTGTGTTTTAGCAATGTTGTAACCCACCTCCAGCCATGGGGAGAAGTGGGCAAGCAATAAAAATTATTATTATTATTATTATTATTACTACTACTACTACTACTACTACTACTACTACTACTAGAAATGCAACAAGATTAGTACACAGCAAACAAGATCACTCTGCTGGTTGTTGTATTGAATCACACATCGGACACTCCTCAAGTGTCTAGAACTATGTGATGTATTGGTGAATAATGTGTGCAGATCCCAGTAGGGTGGCCTTTTGCAGCTTACAGATGGTAATTTTGTCAGCACCGATTGTGTTTAAGTGCAGGCCAAGGTCTTTAGGCAATGCACCTAGTGTGTCGATCATCATCATCATCATCATATAATATAAGCCCTACTCCAAAAATAAGCTCCCAGTTAAGATTGTCAGCCAGACAGATGCGTTTACCAGTAGTACATCCATTCCAATGCACAATGAATGTACTAAATTATAAAATAATAATATATAATTAAATATAAAATAAATAATATTATTGAGATTAAAACTTCACTATAATTTATATTATAATTTATTTCAAGTATTTATAAATGCCAAAGCAGGCACGTTTGGATGACAGATTAAAGCCTATGTAAACAAATTAAATGAAGACTTATTGACAAATGAACAATTGGAGTACAGACACAACACACAAATAATGTGCACACTTGATACATGAATAAACACGACATCCCCTGAAAACAAGCCCTTATGTATCTTTTGGAGCAAAAATTGATCAAAACCCAGTCTTATTTTCAGGGAAATGTGTAGTAACCTGCCCGTCAATCCCTTCTTTCTATTCACCCTAGGCAGCCTCCTTCTTAATAATTCTATCATGGCTTGCAGCAAACTGGTACAAGCCTGGTGGTGCCTCAAATTTGAAGGCTGATAACGGATTCTAATTTAAGGCTCTTATCTTGCAACATCTTTTTTCAGGAGCAAACCCACTTGATTTAGTAGGTCATCAGAGAAAAACTCCATAAGGTTGAGTTTCAGGGTTTAGTCTACCCACCTCTCCTTTACACAAGAAGGCCAGTTCCAAGGAGACACTCCTCCACATGATATTTTTATGCGATCATACAAGGGATCATTTCTACCAGTGGCATTATCTTTCCATGGTGGAAAGAATGTGTGTTCCTCTGAAGAAGAGGGTATGTCTATGGCAGCAGTGCTGCTGGTAGGGTCTCCTTTGTTAGATAGGCTTTTACTGAGGAGACAGAATAAATATGCCAAACAGATGCCAGGCATTAGTAGTAGTATGGGGCAACATTAGCAAAGGATCTCTCAGAAACAATGGCAATGCCGAATGAAGTTTATAATTGTGTGAAGCCCCAACTACACTGACCATTCAATGCAGTTCGAAGCTAGCTTCAAATTATGAAACTAAGAAAACCCTTAATGCACATCAGTGGTTTGTGGCTGCGTAATCGACATCCTGGCCCCAAACTGGTTCAAGAATTTCCTATGTTATAATCTGTACAGCAGAACTACTTACTGTAAGTGGTTGGTGTAGATGGAACCTGGCACGAATGCAGCTTTCCAGATTTTATTGAACTGTAATTTCTAGAATTTCTCACCCCTGCAGCTGCTGGAAAGGCCACATGGTTCCCACCCAGCTTTGGTTCTGGCTACCTTAGAGCTTGTCTACACTGTAGGAAAAGGAATTTCTTCCAGTTTTAAGAACCTTGCTTTTTTACGCTATAGTTTTACAGACAATCCAGAATTCTTTGGCATGTTGGCAGCCCTCCAGCTTTGTTTTGCTGTGGAACTGGGCAGTGGAGTTAGTGACAGGCACAACTGGTTGGTAGAAGGTGATCATTCCTGACTTTCCAGAGTTGAATTTAAATTTCTTTTTTAAAAAAGGTGCATGTGTGCAGAACACTTACATATCAGTATATTGGTATTATTAACACACCTCTGCTTAATAGGAAATATACATATTTGAATGCATGATGGAGAGGGAGAGTTTACAGCAGTGGTTCCCAACCTGTGGTCCATGGACCACCAGTGGTCCCCAAGTGACGGTGCGGCGTCACCGTTACTACACAATTGCAACAAGAGCGACTGGTCTTGCAAAACCCTCTTATAGTGCTGAGGCAGGCCTGTAGCCAGGATTTTGATTCGGGGGGGGGGGGGGGGGGGGGGGGGGGGGGCTGAGGATCTACCCTAGCAAATCTTTTGTATTGTTATCCCAATAACCCCATGTAGAGCATGTTGCAGTAGTCTATTCGGGATGTAACCAGACCATAGACTACCATGGCCAAGTCTTACTTCCCAAGGTATGGGTGCAACTGACGAACAAGTTTTAATTGTGTGAATGCTCCCCTGGCCACCACCAAAACCTGTGGTTCCAGGCTCAGTGATGAGTCCAACATCACTACCAAGCTGCGAACCTGTGTCTTCAGAGGGAGTGTAACCTCTTCCAACACAGGCTGTAACCCTATAACCTGTGTGGCCTTGTGAATGACCAGGAGTACCTCTGTCTTGTCGGATTCAGTTTCAATTTATTCGCCCTCATCCAGACCATCACAGCTGCCAAGCACCAGTTCAGGATCTGAACAGCCTCCTTAGAAGCAGGTGGAAAGGAGTAATAGAGTTAAACTTCATCTGCATACAGATGACATCAAACTCCAAAACTCTGGATGATCTCCCCCAGCGGCTTCATGTAGATGAACATTAAAACGTATTTCCACAAAATACATATTAAAATACACAAAACATAGATTAAACATAAGATGCAAGTTTAAAATTTGTCATTCAAACTATCTGGCGAGGCCTATGTCTTAAATTGCGACAGCTCATCTAGCTGTCGGAGCTCTTCCAGCAGGTTGTTCCACAGTCGTGGGGTGGCCGATGAAAAGCTCTGTTTGCCTGTCAGGTTCCAGCTGGTTGGAGTCGCTGCCCCCCAGAGGACCTCAGTGTTCAGGGTGGATTGGACAGGAGAAGGAAATCCTATAGGTAACCTGGACCCAAACCATGTAGGACTTTAAATCATATATTTTTAAAAATATATAAATGAAAGCTTTTAATGAAATGTTGTGTCCCCTTTCATTATATTATAAGAACTTGTGCATGTGTCCCTATCTCTTATATGGGGTCGGTTTAGCCTTTGGTTTGCTAGTAAAACTGAATTTTAAAATTCCAGCCTGATTTAATCACAAATTTTAAACGTGCGTCTTGTGTTTAATCTTTGATTTGTATATTTTAGTATGTATTTTTGTAGAAATATGTTTCAATAGATGTATTTTGTAGAATGTTTTTAGACTATTGTGTGTGTTTTACCGATGTCATAAATTATTATTTGAAACACAACAAGATTAGTACACAGTAAACAAGATCACTCTGCTGGTTGTTGTATTAGATCACAGGTCGGACACTTCCCAAGTGTTGAGGAATATGTGATGTATCGGCAAATAATACGTGCAGATCCCAGTAGGGTGGCTTTTTGCAGCTGGCAGATGGTAATTTTGTCGGCATCGATTATGTTTAAGTGCAGGCCAACGTCTTTAGGCACTGCACTCAGTGCGCCAATCACATTATTATTATTATTATTATTATTATTATTATTATTATTATTATTGATGCATGCCTAAAAAATGTGTCACCAACATGAAATGTTTGTAAAGTTTGTGTTAGGGACTTAGGGTGCATTTACACTGTAGAATGGATGTGGTTTGATGCCACTTTGACCACCATGCCATGGGATTTGTAGTTTGGTGAGGCACCAGCCCCCTTTGGCAGAGAAAGGTTGGAAAACTGCAACTCCTATAATGCCACAGCAGTGAGTTGTGGCAGTTATAATGATACCGAACTGCAGTCATTCTACAGTGTAGATTAGGCATGGGCAAGCTTTGGCCCTCCAGGTGTTTTGGACTTCAACTCCCACCATTCCTCACAGCCTCAGGACCTTTCCTTTCCCCCCTCAGCCGCTTAAGCGAGTCCTGAGGCTGTGAGGAATGGTGGGAGTTGAAGTCCAAAACACCCAGAGGACCAAAGCTTGCCCATGCCTGGTGTTGATCCATCCTCAGAAGAGGAGGGCCTCAACCAAAAGCAAATACACCTCAGAGCAACCCACCATGTTTGGAGGCGGGGAGGGCCATTCCTCGTGGCTTGCTTGCTGCGTCAAAGGTCCCACGCAGGTCTTAATCCGCCTTCGCAGCCATTCCTTCCCTCAGCAGCTGAGATCTCTTAACGTGGTCTTAATCCACGTCACGCAGCGTCAGGGGCGGCCCTGCTGGCGGCGAAACAGCACCCCGGGGTCCATGCTGCGGGGAGAGCTGTAGTTTGTTGAGGCACCAGCACTCTTTCGGCAGAAGAGGTTGGAGATCTTGTGAAAGCACAAGTGGGGCCAAGCTGCATGCGTTTCACAGCACTGGAGATGCACCCTGTCTCTCTCCCCCTCGTTCCTTCTCTTTCCCACGTGCGTTCGGGCAATGACAGGAGGAGTCCCTGCCCCCTCCTCGGAGACCGCCTCCGGATTGGCTGAGCGCTCTCTCCCGGAGCCCCGCCCAGCGGCGCTTCTCTGCTGGTCGGGGAGAGGGAGCCGGCAGATCCTCCTCCCGCCCGCGCCCGCCGCCCTCTCTCCGCTCCCTTCTCGGCCTCCGGGCTCCAGCCAAGGGGCGCCTGGGGTTGCGATGACCCCGGGGAAGGGCAGCGGAGAGCCACAGCCAGAGCCCCGCCCGCAGCGCTTCCCTGGGACGGAACATGCGGAGCCGGTAAGTCGCTTCTTCAGGGCGCTTCTTGGAGACCTGTGGGCTACACGCTGGCGAATTAACGCAGTGGGAAACCACTTTAACTTCCATTCTGGGGGACCCTGCGAGGTGTAGTTTGGTGAGGCCCCAGCAGAGAAGGCGAGAGAGAGAAAATACACACCTCTTGGTTGCCTCCTTTTCCGCGGCATGCCTTTTCGGAAGGACGGAATGTACGCTGCTCCTCGAAATAGAGAGAGAGAGAGAGAGAGAGAGAGAGAGAGAGAGAGAGAAGGCAGGCGCCCCCAGACGCATCCTGACTGAGGGGGGAAGCGACGTGGTTTGTGGCGGAGGCGTGGGGTTCCCTGCCTCCGAGGCCGAAGGAGGAAGAAGGACTTCGCTCTCTCTGGAGGCAGGTGGACGTGGGGAGAGGCGCCGCCTCCGTCAGCTGGAGCGCCTGAGACTTGACCAGGCAGGAGATACACCGGGAGAAATCTCATGTCGCCTCTAGTTCAGGCCTGGGCAAACTTCGGCCACCCCTCCAGATGTTTTGGGTTTCAGCTTCCAGCAGTTGGGACTTACAGTTTCTCAAGTTGCTCCCACCATTCCTAATAACTGGTAAACTGGGTTGTTGTGAGTTTTTCGGGCAGTCTGGCCTTGTTACAGGAGCATTCCCTCCTGACGTTTCGCCCACATCTATGGCAGGCATCCTCAGAAGTTGTGAGGTCTGTTGGAAACTAAGTAAGTGGGTTTTATATATCCGTGGAGCCCCCACGGGTTAAATCCTTGTGCCAGCTGGACTGAAGACCGACAGGTTGCAGGTTCGAATCCAGGGAGAGTGTGAATGAGCTCCCTCTGTCAGCTCCAGTTCCCCATGCAGGAACATGAGAGAAGCCTTCCACTAGAATGACAAAACATCCTGGCATTCCCTGGGCAATGTCCTTGCAGACAGCCAATTCTCTAACACCAGAAGCGACTTGCAGTTTCTCAAGTCGCTCCTGACACAAACACACACATATACCCGTGGAATGTCCAGGGTGGGGGAATGAACTTATTAGCATTGAATGGCCTTTCAACTTCAAAGCCTGACTGGTTGTTGCTTGGGGGAATCCTTTGTTGGGAGGATTACGTGTGAAATGCTATTAAATGCTAATCAAGATGGCCAATTGCAACATTCACACTTGCCTCCAACAGACCAGAATTCTTTCTCCCACCCTGGACATCCCACAGATATATAAACCTCACTTGCCTAGTTTCCAACAGTCCCTCAACCTCTGAGGAACTCTGTTATAGATGTGGGTGAAACATCAGGAGGGAATGCTTCTGGAACATGGCCATACAGCCTGGAAAACTCACAGCAACCCTGCTATGAAAGCCTTTGACAAATCCAGTAAACTGGCTGGGATTTCTGAGAGTTGGAGTCCAAAACACCTGGAGGGACGAAGTTTGCCCAGGCCTGCTCTAGGTAAAGGGAGGAGGAAACATTGTGTCAGAATGCTTTGAGCATTGGAGTAGGACTCTGGAGACCTCAGAGTGCATCCACATGGTAGAATTAAGGTAGTTTGATCCCACTGTGACTCAATGCGATGATGATGATGATGATGATGATGATGATGATGATAATAAGAGCTGTAGTTTTACAAGGCCTTTAGCTTTCTCTACCCAGAGTGTGGGTGCCTCAGCAGACTACAGATCCCATGGCAATTAACATGGTGTCCCATTGCATTAATTCCACAGTGTGGATGCATTTCCAAGTTTGCACTCCTCAGCTGAGTTGTTTAAAGCAAGTTAGGGGTTTTGCCCTCGTTTTTGCAAGCGTCTTCATGAGTTGTGTGGTTCTCCCGGTTAAGTGGGTTTAACATTTGCTGCCTGACATCATTGTTATTCATTATTCATAGGAGTTCAGTTCAGTACACATGATTTAATACTTATTCTTAAGCCTTGGTAGAGTCTGCTTCGCTCACAGAGTGTCATTCTCCATTGCTAGTGTGTACTATGAATACGCACCTTTGCCTGCTATGCTTGAATAGCAACGCAAGCCCTTCCGTCTATGGTCTGTAGCCATTCTGGTGTGTTTGGTGACTGTGGTCAGGCCTGAACTCACCAATCCTTATGTGTGAAGGTTTGCTGCAATGTGAGTGACTCACTTTTTTACTGTCCTGGAAATGACACAGTGCTTCACTTAGAAGACTACTTCCTGGAAGCATGTCTTTTTTTCTGATTGAAAGGCCAGCCGTTTTCATAGTGGGGCAGGAATAGTAAAGGTGGCGTGGCCGATAAGGAATGCAGATACAAGCTGCCTGGGTGTGGAAGGAAGTTGGAGGTTGTTTACCTGTGTTTGGCAGCACACTGTTGCTTGTTATTGGTGGCAGAGGACAGCTTTAAGTGTATACAAAGCCACAGAAGGAGCACATCCCTCTAATAAAGAGGCAAAGCAAAACAAGGTCATGGGGAGCACTGGAAGGCTAAGTATGGGCCACATACAACGCTTTCTGTATATATATGTACTTTATCACACTAGAGACTGAATCCACTTTAAATCTGGTTTCTGCCTCCAGCAGAATTCTGGGGTTTGTAGTTTCAGGAGACTGTGAAAGGCTCCTCCCTAAACTACAAACCCCAGAATTCTGTAGGAGGCAAAAACGGATTTAAAGTGGATTAATTCTCTAGTGTGATGATAGAGGCCAGAATTCAGACAACCTTGTAGATTGAAAGCCATGGCATGCAGGCATGTAGCCCGGGGGGGGGGGGCTTGAGGGGCTTCAGCACCCCCCCCCCCAAATTCTCATGGTGGTTCGCGAAAAGGCCTTACTGGTGCATTATTTAAACTGTTATGTTTATTCATATCATGATCTGATCACCATACTCAATATATCCCATATGCATGGGGGTATTGGGGTAACAATACAAAAGGTTTGCTAGGCTAGACCCTCTTTCACTCAGACTCAGCCCCCCCCCCCCCGAAACTCAGCCCCCCAAAAAATTCAGCCCCCCCCCCCCCCAAACCAAATCCTGGCTACGGGCCTGATGGGATGTGAATTTTAGGAACTTGAACTTCCAAACAAACATGGAGAAGACTTCTTGTTCATACATTCTTAGTTAGACTTCCTAAGGGCATGCTGTATTAGCACATGTGTACTATGCACAGTGTGAAATGGTTGTGTCTATTTAAGGAGGTGTGGGCCTGTGCAGTTTCAAGAGAGGGCTAAATAGATTTGTGTCTGTCCTCGCTGCATTATACAATGTAAATCTGGCAGTGCAAAAAAGAAGCCTTCCTAGCTATAGGCACAAGGGACCCCTCCACACAGCCATATAATCCAGAATATCAAGGCAGAAAATCCCACATTATCTGCTTTGAACTGGAATATATGGCAGTGTAGACTCAGGGCCCCTCCACACAGTCATATAATTCAGAATATCAAGGCAGAAAATCCCACAATATTTGCTTTGAACTGGGTTATCTGAGTTATTTGCTTTAACTGTTTTTATATATGTTTTATATTGTAATGCTGATTGTTTTTAATGGCACTTTTATGAATGCCTGCCATCAAATTGTGCCAATCTGCAACCCGCCTTGAGTCGCCGTATGGCTAAGAAAGGCGGGCTTTAAATATCGTAAATAATTAAAATATATAATATAATAATAATATGGGGTTCTATTCAGCTGTGTGGAAGCACCAAGTTCTCCCATGCTGCATTACCCTGCTTTTAGGTAGTCACATTTCTCATTGCAGGGACATACTCGTCAGAATACTAATCAATCTGCGTTCATTTGTAATTTTAAAATCCCATCAAGTTAGCATTTGAAAGCATATGATTTCAAAAAGAATGAATGTGTGTATGTATGTGTGTGACTGTATACACACACTTCATACACCTCACGCATCAATCACTAGTATGCATTTATATACACATTGCAAACGGCACAAGTGCAAAATCTGGCAGGCAGCTAAACTCCAGTCCTCAGTTTATTCTGAAAGATTCTGCTGAGGTCACTTTATTTATATAGGGGTTCTTAATAAATCAAACTTCTTAACAACTCTTACTTCGAACCCTATTTCTCTCCTATGGTTTCAGAGATCTCCTTAGAATCATAGAGTTGGAAGAGACCTTGTGGGTCATGCAGTCCAAGCCCCTGCTAAGAAGGAAGAAAATTGCATTCAAAGCACCCCCGATAGATGGCCATCCAGCCTCTGTTTGAAAGCCTCCAAAGAAGGGGCCTCTACCACGCTCCGGGGCAGAGATCTCCTTTACATATATACATTTTTAGTTTAGCTGTAGTAGTGAGTAATGAAAGGATCACTAGAAATCATGCTCAAACCTGTGAGCCTTTTGCTGTATACAGGATTTCCTGTAATGCTCTTTGTTTCGTTCCAGTGGTGCATCCATTTTAAAATCTCAAAAAATCTGCCTCACCATATACCCTGAAGAACATATATAGGTTATGATCCTGAAGAAAATGTGCAGCAGGTGGTATTTCCTTTATGCTTGCCAGTTACTTAAATAAGATCTGCTGACAGCCCTTTAAAACTCCTGAATAAGGATAACAGCAGCTGCTGGAGTAGGTGACTCTTTTTACCCACCTTCGCAGGTCTGTGGAAAAAGTCTTAGTCAGTTCTAAAAAAAGGGCCTTGTTATGAGCAATTGCATGATGATACTAGAGTATTGTTTCTTTCCCAAAGCATTACAAAAGATTTTATTATATTTCTCACTACTCCTCACCTTGAATTGTAGAGTGGTATAGTAGGTTAGATATACTGACTTGCTCAATGCCAGGCATTTTGTAAGCAACAAATATGTGATCTTATCACCCTTGATGGTGGGGAAATCCTGCAAGGATGGCTTTTTACCAGCTCTTTAACATCTCAGAGTTTATTATCAACTTTGGCTTTGTTGTGACAACTTGTATTTATTGGTTTTACTACTACTATTGTGTATATTTAAAGTAAAAGTGAAGTTTTTAAAGAAATTCAAAGGTAAGGTGACAGAGCAAAGTTTGAAATTAGACTGACAAACCCAAGACGCTT